TGACTATTAGGATTCTATATCCCTAAATCACATCTCATGCAATTAAATTTATTTATTTTAAATATAGTGACTCAACCGGCAACATCTCCAATACGATGGAATGTGCGACCGGGGTCGTGGGACTTTTGACTGAGATTTCCTGTCACTGGCTTGCAGTCGTCTCTCGTCCTTCGTCCGTCGTCCCTCGTCCTTTGTCCTTCGTTCGTCTTACAATATTTTCATGCGTTTCGCTGAGAGAGACACACACACAAACCCACGGCCCGAGACGACGGGCTGCTGCTGCTGCTCCTTTCAGCGCTTTTGCCAGTTGATATCCTGCTTAAGGATGCGCTCAAGTACTTTCAAGTCACTTGGCAGCTGCTTAACTTAACTTTTACTTGGCTTTGTCAGCGTTAAGGACCGGTCCAGGGGCGGTGCCTGTTTTCCAAAGGGGAAGCGCCATGGAACAGCCATGAATGTGTTTCAATGTTGACGCAACAAGAAGAATTGGCCAAGGAGGAGCGCGAAAAGGGACGAAGGTCGTCGATGTCGGGGCATACCTTTTTCACCGCTGAACTTTGTCCCCCAAAACGAAAGTCCTCCCCCTGCTCTACCTCCCTGCCCCCCCCCCCCCAACTTAAACCCTGCTGTAAACACCGCCTGTTGCCCTGGCTGCACTTGACTCAAGTGGCCTTCTCGACTGCTTCAAAGCGACAAAAGTGTCACCGCAACTGTTGCGGTTGTATCTACAACAAGCCGAGTATTTCCTTGGCTAACACACACACACACACCGCACTCACACATATATAAGAACAAACACAAGCAGCATACCGACACAGGTCCTGGCCGCCCGCCAACAACAATGGCCAGCAAGCCATGCAAATCCATTGGCCATGTCAAGACGATTCGTTGGCTACACTTGAAGAAATCAAAAGGGTAAAAGCACTAGAAAGTGCTTTAAAAAATAAAAGTAATATTTCTATTTTACTAATTGTTTAATTAAAAATACTTTTAAACAGGTTAAGCGGGACGTGTCGAAGGAATTGAAATAACTCCTCACAGTGCTGCAAAGTATGCTATGAAAATTTTAAAATCAAGTTGAACTTTTGTAGTTCTGATTAATTGTACACATAAGCAAGAGATTATAGAAAACTTTAAGTTCTGGTTTATATTTAATAAAAAATATAAATTTTCAAAACAATAACACAAGATTACTGATAAATAATACCCGATACCTAAGCCTTACTATTTCCCTAAAACTTTTCCGATTTCCCAATAAAATTTGTAACAATGCAAATAAGAGAACTTAACAAAAAGACAAAAGGGAAAGGGGATAGGAGAATGGGAGAAACGAGGTACAGAATAAGAATGGAACGGAAAAGAAAAGGTAACGATTCCGTGGCAAACTTATTTGTTTGTTCAGTTTGTTGTGCTCGTCCAATTCATTTCTTGTTTCTTGTCGTGCAATTTCCGTTTCCGCTTGGCCGGTTAACTCCCCCAAAAAACCCCTTTCTAAAAATGTTATATATATATATTCAAGTATATACATTCATTCGCCAAACACTTGACATTGTTTTCCAAGTTATTTTCGCATTGTTTGATTTCACTTTTAAAATTCGTCTGCTTGCTCAGACACGGTGGCAAACACAAGGTAATCCTTGTCAGATCCGCTTAGACCACCTTTCCCAACCTTCTCTCTCACCACCCCCTCTCCGCATTCGTATTTGGATTTTGTTATAAACATTTTAGTGGAATTACTTTTAGTTTAAGTTGCTGCAGGTAAATTGTGTCTGCTTTTGTTCATGCGGCACTTTTTGCTGCCTTTCCCTTGATGGAACATTAAATGATTTTGCTTTAAAGTAAAATGGTAAAATGAGTACTTTTATTTGCTTAATTGAGTTCCTTTGGATTGCTATTAAATTCTTATATATAAGGAGAGAGATTAAACATGTAAAAATGAAAAGAATAACTTTCAAAACAAATAACTACTTTTGGTTAAGAAAAAATACTTTAAATTAACGGCTAAAAGATTTCCAAACCTTAACTATTTAAGCTAACCAAATCATTTAAAGCGGTGGATCGCTTTCCGAATTTAAATTAAGGCTCTTTTGGCCGAGTTATGAGATTTTTAAACTTTGATTCGTCGAGAAAATATTCTCATAAAAATAATGATAATAATTATATAACGATTCAAATAATTCGAATATATTAAGATTATGTGCAAAGGTGAGAGACTTCGAGTCAGAAGCTTGTAGCTCTGTTGGGAATTCTTTCCGACCCTACAACCCATATATATTCTTGAACAGCATGAAAAGCCGAGTTGATCTAGCCCCCTCATCTAGCCATTTACATAACTATAAATGGAAATCAACTTCACTTTCAGCTGAATGCATTTAATCAATATTGAATTTACTGCAGGATAATAGTTAAACTTTCAATTGCAATTGACATGACTAAAATCGGTTTCACTACAACTTTGAAAAACGATAAAAAACGAATCTTTTGTACAATTTTATGGTTGATAACAATTGACCCGCAGCAAAGGTGGCTAAAAGCCGTTTCCATTTCCGACAGGATTCCATAATTAAAAAATCCTTTTTAATTGCACTTTGCTGTTGACTGATGCCTAAATTATTGACCTGCATTTGTGCCACAGAGACAGAGGTGCCAAAAGCAATCAACATTTCAAGATATTTCCGTAAATAAAATGCTAATTTTTATTACAATTTTTAGATAAGGACACAGACTCACCTTGTGAGCTCCGTCCACACTCCAGTCGTCATCATCACCATGATCGTTGTGTGTGTGTGAGTAGCTTTAAGGGCACTGCAGCGTCAAGGACCCGCTGCCCATCCCAGAGCATTGCGGTTGGGGCCAAAGGTTAAGTTAAGCTCCGTTTGAGTTCAACTCCAGACCGCTGGCCCCCGCCCCTTTTCATTTCATTTCATTTCGTTGCGTTTCGGTTGTGGTTCTGAGCTCTGGGTTTTCCTGGGCTTTTCATTTCCAACAGTGTTGCCCAAAGAACGATTTAAGAAAAATGCACATACTATAGGGAAAATTGGGGAAATAAAAAGAAAATTAAACTAAATTAAAAAACTACTTTCAGAAGGTTTTATTAGTTAATTTTATTCTGTTGGAAAGTTAAGAAAAATAAGACCAAATTAATCACAAATCATCCAAAATGATACTATACATTTTTGAGACTTTAAAACTTAGTTAAATTTCTATTTAAAATTATTCAAATTGTGATCTATGATAGATGCTAAAAACATTAAAAGGAGAAGGTGTTCCCAACCAGATTCTGAAACTAAATAAAAATATATACATTTAATAAAAAAAAGAAGGGAATAGACATTGACAGCACTGATTTGCATTCTTCTTGTGCTTGTGCTGAGACTTGCCCCCACGCGGAATGCAAAAAGGCAGAGTGTGCTTTTCCGGCTCCTTTTCCGTTTGCCGTTTTCCCGACCAGCTGCCGGAAATACTTGAAATTCTTAGAGCCTTCAATTGAAGTGCAATTGCTCCTCCGACTGCATCTGGGAACTTGCCACTCGGCCAGTCGACTGCCACCAATGACAACAACAACAAGAACAATAAGAACAACATGAGCCAAAGTCTTGCCACCTGATAACTGCTACCTGTTACCTGCAAACCACCGATGCGCCTCGTTGCCGCACGAACACTGTGCCACAAAAGACGGCCCAATGCTTTTACGCTTTTCCGATTTTCTGATTTTCCGATTTACCACCCGACGATGCCGACGAAGCCCGTTCGGTGGAGGGAGGGGGGCCACACAAGCGAGCCAATTGGACGAGGTTTTCCCTGGCCAAGACTAGCAACAATGTTGCGTTAACAGTTTCAGTTGCAACATGTTGCAAGGCAACATGCAGCAGTCAACATGGATGGGCAGGAAAAGTTAAGGGACTTTAAAAGTAATAAATAATTAAACGATAATAAGAAAATAAGAACCCCTTTTTGTGGCTTGTTATATAGTTAAATATCTTTATATTGACTCTTTTTATTTTAAATATTCTATCACTATCCCTTTTTATCCCATTCGCTCATGTTTTTTCAAGTTTAGCCTCCGATATTACTAATTATTAAAACACAATTATTGCCGGAATGAAATGAATGGATGGGGATATATCTACTCCTGGACCCGGTCACGTCCCTCTATTCAACTATAACGATGCAAATTAGCTAACGGAATTATGAGAGAGTGCAGCGTGTGGAAAAGTTTCGCCTTCTTTTCCACACTTTCCATCTTCATCATCATTATTATCATCATCATCATTGGCTTGGTGGGCAAACTTTCGTCAGTCACTGTCTCCAGTTCAAGTCCTGGACTCCGCGGGCCCAGGATCGGGGTTAATTTCAGTTTCTTATTGCAGTTAATTAAGTGAAACTTGAGTTGCCGTCATTGCAAAATAAAAAACGAGGGGACCCGGAGTCGGAGTCAAACTCTGAGGCGGTATTTTCACAGTTTTAATTTATGCAGCGTCTTTCCTTGCCAGTTGCTGTGCATGTCAAAGTGCTGACAATCAGCAGACAATCCCAACAATGATAATCAACTGCAGCGCGAAAAATCTCAGCGATTTAAGTGAACTCAAGTCCTCGGAAATCGGATTGAGCGTTGAAGAAAAAATTGGGGATAAAAACATGAAAGTTGTTTGGGAAATATAGCGTAATATATAGCTGTATCTTAATTAATGCCTTCGTTTTTTGCTTAAAAAACTATGTATTTTCAGCTTACCACTGCAAGGAAAGAACTACAAAAAGAACTTATTTGGCATTATAAATTTCAGAAGGGTTCGAGAATTTTATAAATTTCCATAATAATAATCGACTTCTAAAAATATTTTATCCGTTTATCCGTTATTTAAGACCTATATAAAATCAATGGGATAGCACTATTTATTGAGGATTATCAGATATACCATTCACATAACTCTAGAAAGTCATGAAAAATGTGAATGTATTTGATATTAAAAGAAAATCTCAGATTCACACCTAGCTTTTGCATTACTTGTCCCTTGTCATAGGAATAGTAAAGAGAAAACAAGATCAGTGTCGAGCAGAAAATCAGAATTATTTTTTTTAATTTTCATCATCGTAAAGAAGCAAAAATCCGAAATGGCTTATTTTAATAATTGTACTGTGTGCTCTAAAAATAAAAAGAAAACGAGCACCATCTACGTGTGCACGGTAAGTGGATATCCTTGATGAAAAGGACATATTTCCTCAGTCTCTGGTATTTGCAGAAATGCCTGGAGGACAAGAAATATAAAGGGAACAAAAAAATTGAAAGCCCAAAGGATAAGAAGAAGCAGAATGATGTGAAAAAGAAGTCCATTGAAGATAAACAGAAAGCTAATGCTAATCCAAAGGAAGATCAGAATGCAGAGAACAATAAGGGAAAGGAGAAGAAGGGGAAGAAGGGAAAGAAGACTAAACCAAAGGAAAATCCAGCAAAGGAGAATAAACCAAAGGAGGATCCAAAAATGGAGAACAAGCTTATGGAAAATCCGCTAAAGGACAGAAACGCAAAGGAGAATAAGGGAAAGGAGAATAAACCAAAAGAAGACAAGGCAAAGAAGAATGCTGAAAAGAAGAATAAGGGAAAGGAAAATCTGGAAAAGGAAAATATGATAATTGAGAAAAAGCAAAAAGAGATTAAACCAAAGGAAGTTTCTCCAAAGAAGAATAAGGCTAATAAGAATAAGACAAAGGAGAATAAACCAAAGGAGATTTTAAAAAAGAAGAATTAAGCAAAGGAGAACAAGGCAAAGGATAATAGGACAACGAAGAAAACCTTACGAGAATAAACCGAAGTTGAATAAAACGAATAATAAAAAGAGAATTATAAGAAAGAGATAAAACTAAAGAAAAATCCGGTAAACAAGAATAATACGAAGTAATTAAGACAAATTAAATTTCGGAAAATTAGAATAAGCCAAACGAAAATAAATTAAAGGAAAGTAAGATGAAGGAGAATAAAATAAAGGAAAATTCAAATAAGGAGAATAATCCTAAGGAGACTGCTGACTCATGTGGTCCAAACCAATCTATCCCGGTGGGAAAATGTATTAGCCTTGAATGAAACAACGAAAAACCCTTCCTAAATATTTAATAAATATTTCTAAAAGTAAATTTTAAAGTTTACAAAAGACAAATCCTATGCTTGGTTTCTTTGTAATTAGTCAACGTGATTATAAATAATTTTCTTTGAGGATTTTTTGTCCTTGTTTTGTTTTCAGTTTCTCCTTTACCGATCCTGGGAACTTAAAGATTGCCTTTAAGATTATCATGGCGACAAGGGGCATTGGACCCAAAGCCTGGCCTGACTGGTTTTAGCCCATCATCATCTGTCGGGTAATGTGGATTCAATTGGATTGCCAGAGCCAGTGCCAGTGCCAGTGCCACAGAGCCACCCAAGACCCACCATCCATCCCCCTAGGTGCAGACATGGCTGTGATTGCGCCAAGGACATAAAGTATGCAACACTCGGAGCGAGGACGAGGACGAGGACGAGGCCAATGCCCATTGAATCCACAATGGAGTCAAAGGAGCCGGTGTGAATCGAACTGAATAGTTGTGAATCGAAAAGGGGGAAAGCGGCGAATGAGCGGCTACTCACTCTGCTGCCCACGTATAATCATCATAATGGCAAATTATATATAATAATAAAATATTTCGTGTCCAAACTAACAAACTTTCCCGGTCGATTGAGTGTGTGTGTGTGAATGTGTGTGTTTTTCAATACACACTGCGTACGTGCAGTTCGGTACTTTGCTTAATTCCATGACCAAATATCCAAAATATACTCGATGCTGGACTCCTTGTCATTGGCAGGACTTTAAGCAAATCCTTTTTCTTGCATGGTGCCAGTGTTCGTCTGGCCATTTCATGGCGACGACGTCGTGACAATGGCCCCTTTTCCAAATCAATCGTCTGCGTGACCCCCCTCCCACAGATCCTTATACCTCCTTTCACCCCCCTCTTTGCGATGCCTCTGCATGCGCTGCATGCAAAATTAGCCTGGCGTTAGAAAATGAAATGCTCGGGGAGACCTTGAGAGGCCACACCTTCCGCTGCCCCGGCAGCCCCCGGGAACCTAATACCATATATCCATTTCCGTTTCCGGCACTCGCTTTCGATTCAGTGCGTGCTTTCTTCGTATCGATAACCCACGGCGACCAGTTCTCGATTCTCACCAAATTAGGCTATTTTTCACGGTGAAAAATTAACTACAACTAGATTTTAAGTAAATAGAATAAATTAAAGTTGCATTGAGATATTAATTAAATCTATTAACAAGTAATAATTATATAAAATGCAGAGCAAAACTATGTTGATTTAAGCAATTTGTATTTGACATAAGAGTTGCAATGTGACCAGTTAGAAAATTCAGTTTTATCTTTGTTTTTATTTGTATATTTTCCAATAAATTAAAGAAAAATGCGTCAATTTTTGTTCTGTGCTAAATGTACAGAGGAGATCTGTGGCAGGATCCATTCTTCGATTTCCTTTTCAAACTAGAAAGGCTTTCCACACTGCCGTCAATTGCTCGGGACACACGCAGGCCAAGTCAATTTGCAACTTTTCCTGTCAGTCTCTCTCACTCTCTCTCATCCTGAGTCCTCTCTCCATCTTTGCAATTTTCACCACTGATTTTCCCAGCCGCCGCTTTTCCGCCTTTCTTTTTTTGGTGCTACTGCTTGCTTGAACTTCCTCCTTGCCGGGTAAAGTGTTCCATTTCCTTTGTGCCCGGAAAATTCACAGGGGCTGTCGTGGGGTTAAAGTTGGCTCCCGCGGTTTCCACTTCCAACTTCCACTTCCAACTACCATTCCACTAACACTCCACTTCTTCCACTACCACTTCCACTTCCACTTCCACTTCGATTGCGGCAAGCGGCAAAGTTCAAAGCGAACATTTTCGATATCGCCATTAATTAACGTTACTAAATTAGCGGCCCAGGGCCTAAAGGCAATGAGAATCGATAGAAAAAGGGTTCCTTAAGTACATATTATTCATACATTTCTTAGTTTTTTTGTTATTTAATTTAATTTCATTTATATTCTTTATAAAAAAAACAAGAAAAAGTACAGAACAAAAACTCTCTTGAAGTGGTAAAATACACCCAATCGATTAGTTTATGAAAAAAGATCCACTTAATTGACTTTCAAAAACAAATTAAATTAAATTAAAAGAAGCAAACTTATACAAGAACAAAACAACTGCATTCCAACCAGAGTCAAGCAGATTTGTGATCTATTAAAATAAACAAATAAACTTGGACAAAAATCAACTTGGAAGAAGTGCATCCTGATTCCCTGGAGATTTTCGTGGCTAGAGCAAAGAGCTGTCCGCTAAGAAAAGAAAGAAGATTTCGTGGCTTTGTTTGAAGTTCTCTATGAAATATATCTGACTTCTTTTTTAGCAGAATCCAGAAATGCGAATGCCAATGGAAAAGTCTGGGACAGGCCGTCGGAAAAGCCATCAGGAAAATGTGCTGTGCTTTGCTGTGCTGGGATATGTGATGTGTTTGGTGCAAGGCAACTTATAGTTTACAGATACAACATCTGTTTCTGTTGCTGCTTCCGCTTCCGCCTCGTTCTCGTCCTTGTTCTCGTCCTTGTCCTTGTCCCCGTCCTCGTCCTGATGATAATCGAAGGCATTGGATGATGATGGCAGGCGCTAAACAAGGCAACTGACATTAAAGACACATCAGAATTCATCAAAACGGCAAACTAATAGAAAAAGTTCTGACAGCAGCCGGTCGAAGTGCTGGACCCTATCCCTGATTTTCCCTCAATTTGTATCGCTGTCCTGTCTTGCGTTAGTATTTCCTATTTCCTGTTCTCTCTCTCTTGCTCTCTCTGGGCTGTGCTTTCTGTTTTCGGCTCAGCATTAAAGTTAAATAGTTGCAGTTGGAGTGGGTTTTTTGAGTTTCGAGTTTCAATTGCCGCTGCACTTTCTTCTAGGGGCCGAAACATAAAAATGATTTAAATGCAGGCGGCGTGGTGCATTATGGGCTTACTGGCAACTGGCAACTGGCTACCGGCTAGTGGCATGCAGGACGAAGGACATCCACTCTACTACACTTTTTCCGACTGAGCACTCGTTGAGTGACAAGTTCCTTGCTCGGGGCCATGTATTAAGTTGATGGCCGCCCGGCGGCAAACAGTGGTGGCAACTTCGTTATGACCGTTAGCAACTCCATTTGCCAGAGTCCGAGATGCCAGCATATCCTAGCACACTCCATTATACACTGCACTTTATATTAATTTATAGATTAAATATAAATATTTTATACTCATTCAAGAAAAAAAGCAAACTTGAAGCTTAATTATCTGAAATCTTCGTTGTTTTTTTAGCCCATTTTTATTGCCTTGAATTCTTTTGTAGCCTCGGACAAGTATCCACATTTTTTTGAAGAGTGCACTTGTCCTGGTGTGGATGGAGTTGAGTGGCAAGGACTCTGCACTCCATCTGCATACTTAATGCATTTTCATTTTATTTCATTGCTTTAGTTCTGACCACGCCGGTGGAGGAGGACGAGGAGGAGCAGTGCTGCATCTCCTTGAACTTGGATGGGATACGGGGTACAGGGGTACAGGGGCACAGGGGCACCGGGGTTTTCGGGGTCCCAGGATCCCGGGGTCCTGGTGCCTGTATCTGCATCTGTATCTTTATCTTTGCTCTATGGCTTGTCTTGTGTTTGCTTACTTTCATTTGTTTACTTGTGTTTCATTCGGTTAAGTGCTTCCTTGATTGTTTTGCCCGCGCCCGCACGCCTTCCTTTCTTTTACTTTTCAAGCCCTCCCTCAGCCCCCATCGGGTTTTCCCGCTTTTCTTGGTAATTTCGGGACTGGAAAATGTTCAGTTTATTGCAGGCTTTCGACTGAAACTCCATCAGGGGCCGCTGGTTAACATTGTTGGCGGAAATATGCCCGCTTAAAGCATTACAAAATTAAAAGAAGCTACCCTTAAGATCCTCCTAGACATAAACCAAAGATCCAAACTAAAGATCTAAAGGTGGAACAGATACCAAAAGGAAAGGGAGAGGAAGCAAGGGCATGTCACCACTTGTTAACAACATTGTTTCCTGTTTCCGGTGGGGGCTTTTGGCAGCAATTTGGCCATCAATATTGGCGAGTCAATAAATATATGCATGCCCATGATTGCGGCCCATATATGTATACCTGCGTACCGATATCTGTATATAGCTGCCTGATTTGCATGGATTATCCTGCGAGTGCGTGTGCGGGTGCGCACAGGACCTTTGGCTGGCCTGGCGTTGACCATACAACATGCATCCTTTATGCATACATTATTTTAATGAATTATTGATTTCGCTCTGTGCCCTGAGTTGATCCTGCTTTTCTCTTTGATTCAACGAACCACGAATGCGCTTTCCTTTACCAAAGAGGCATTAATAATTATAATATAACTTGAATTTATATATAAATTACAATCTGAGCTCAGCGCTCTATCAATTTATCTATCTTTAAAATGAGGATACTTTGTCAAGATTGTATTTATCTATTATACAAGTCTTATATATATATATATATATATATTTCTAAGTGTAACTATGGATATCCTTTGAAAGGATAGGTAATTTATAATGCTTTATTTCCATTCAATCCATTTTTGGCATTGAGCAAGTGAGTATCTTAGGGATTGATAACTACTAACTGCCTTTTGCCTTCTATTCTCTGTCATTCTGCTTTTATTTCCTTTGTGCATTTTGTGTACACTGAAAATGAAAATGGAAAGCCTAGAAATGTCATGTCTTCCCAAATTTTTCCTAAATAAAACAAGATGGAACTATTGAAGGGTGTTAATGAAAACACAAATATTTGTATTTCCATCTACCACATAATTCTCTCAGTGTTTGGGTGAGACTTTTGTGTGGTTTTTGTGGCCCAAAATAGCACTTTGTTGGACTACCAAAAAGGTTACCTACCATTAACGGAAATAATGGGTATATCTATTCAATTATATCGAAGTCGAAGTCGAAGCCGTAGCCCTTACTTTGCCCATCCACTTTCTCTCTCTCTCTATGTATATATTTATATTTGGAGTATTTCCACACCTCAAACCCCAAAAACCTAACCCATTC